TCAGAGAAATGACATGCATCGTGGACGATTTTTCAGATATATTGGAAATGAAATCGTTTTCGAAATGTACGCGATCAGAAACGACGAATAACTTACAAAAATAATTTTGTAAATGTTTCTTTACTTGAAGTTTTTCAATATTGTGCATCCGAGAAGTTGTCTTCCGATGCAAGCTGTTTTGATCATAAAGTTTGGTGGAATCGAGTTAACTTGCTGCAATATAATTCACACCAAAACTTAAATGATCATGCTAGTCATTATGTTTTCAAATCTTAAAAAGAGAGTCCGATAAATATTCAAAAAATATATTTTTTAAGTTGAGTTTTATATTGACAAACTTTTATATTAGTATAATCTATATAAACTGTTATGTATATATTTTGCACAGCGTCTTTATTTCTAGTATAACAATAATATGTTGTAAATCATTGTATATCTCACACACAGTAAAAATAAAATTAATTTTATTATTAAATTAGTAATTTTATTATTAAATTAAATTTTGCAATAAGTAATATTAATTTCACGTTTCATGTTTAAACGATATATGTATATTATGACACGTGATATAAATTGCTGCGTCTAAATTCCGCTCTTTGCAATTTTGCATAAGTTTAAAGTTGCGTTAATCGCAAAATATTGTCACAATTAGTTTTTGATTTATTGTAATAAAAATAAATGCATTCAAATTATATCAATTAAATATTGTATCAAAAATCAAATTCATATAACTTTTGGATTTATGTGAATTTATTATCGGTTGACACTCGAGGATAATTTGCTCGTAATAATCAATCCATATATTAACTTAAACATAGTAAACCGTATCAATTGGATAATGTTTACGAAATATTATGAGATTTAAGAAATTTAAGATAATTTAATTTGATTTAAAATTTGAGGAAAAAATAAACATATTAAAGCACACTGAATGAAACTGCAAATTTTTGCAAGATAGCTTATGAGTTCAGTTTTTCTTTGACGTTTAATGATATGTATGTTTAAATACTATCTCTTATTTAAAAATTAAAAGATTAAAAACGCGAATGGGAGAAGCCAGTGCCGATTGCGGCACGTTCACAAAGTAATGAAAAATAGATATATGTATATATGTATGTATGTATGTATGTATACAGGGTGTTTAAAAAAAACCATTCAATATTTATATGATAGTATATATCGTACTGAGTAAAAAACCTTAGTAAACATAGATCGAAAGTTCAACCGTTTCTAAGATATAAACATTTTTGTATGTTAACGTCATGATTGACTTACTGGCTTTTACGTGTTGCATGCGATGTGAGAAAAAGATAATCTGTCTAAATCTTTATTTACAAAAGGTGTTCCACATGTCCTCCTTCCATTTCCATACACGTTTGGTATCTTCCTTGATAAAGATCCGCAATCGCCGGTTGATGACAACTGACTAATTGCCGGTGAAATCTTCTGTTATGAAGTATGTATGGAAATTGAATGAGGACATTCAAAACGCGGTTTATAAACACTGAGGTAAACATCGCATGCGACACGTGGAAGCCAGTAAGTCAATCATGATGCTAACATACAAAAATGTTTATATCTCAAAAACGGTTGAGCTTTCGACCTATGTTTACTAAGGCTTTTTTTACTCAATATATGGTGTGTCCAATCTACCATATAAATATTGAATGGTTTTTTTTAAACACCCTGTATACATACATACATACATACATATATACATATATCTATTTTTCATTACTTTGTGAACGTGCCGCAATCGGCACTGGCTTCTCCCATTCGCGTTTTTAATCTTTTAATTTTTAAATAAGAGATAGTATTTAAACATACATATCATTAAACGTCAAAGAAAAACTGAACTCATAAGCTATCTTGCAAAAATTTGCAGTTTCATTCAGTGTGCTTTAATATGTTTATTTTTTCCTCAAATTTTAAATCAAATTAAATTATCTTAAATTTCTTAAATCTCATAATATTTCGTAAACATTATCCAATTGATACGGTTTACTATGTTTAAGTTAATATATGGATTGATTATTACGAGCAAATTATCCTCGAGTGTCAACCGATAATAAATTCACATAAATCCAAAAGTTATATGAATTTGATTTTTGATACAATATTTAATTGATATAATTTGAATGCATTTATTTTTATTACAATAAATCAAAAACTAATTGTGACAATATTTTGCGATTAACGCAACTTTAAACTTATGCAAAATTGCAAAGAGCGGAATTTAGACGCAGCAATTTATATCACGTGTCATAATATACATATATCGTTTAAACATGAAACGTGAAAT